CCAATTTGTAAATGGTATACCATAGTTCATTACATAAGGTCTGAGTGTGTAGAATAAAACATGAAGCTAGCAATAAATACTTCCATTTGGAAAAAGAAATGAATGGTTTAGCACAGTAGGTTTGATCTGTGGCAACTTGAAATCCTGCTTGGATGATTAGGAGGATGCCATAGCCAGGGCATATGGAATGTTTTTTTTTTTTTTTTTTTTTTTTTTTTATCAGACTCAGATTCTGCTTTTCAGAAGGTGCCCGACTCCTGGGGACTTTTTGTGGTCCCTGGCTCCAACCCCTGGCAGGAAGTTTCCCCCCAGTAATCTCTTTGCCGTGTCTGAAATGGCATCAGCAAACAACCCTTCCGTGGTGCCTTAGTTTCTCGTCCGAAGAAACTAAGGGGACTGAAGGTTGATTCATGATTAATTTCAAGAGCTCTCTCAAAAATTAGTAAACTTCTCATCTAAATTGGTTCTTATGGTGGCATAATTCCCAGAATATCTCTATTTCTTGCTTTTCATTCCCATAACTGTCTTTCTCTCTCTACTTGATGGTTGTTTACTAGAACGTTCTTTTTAAATTTTTATTCTGGGTCTTTTTATTCAATTAAAAGGATGTACCAGCTACTTCATTATAATTTTTATCCATAGGAAATGTATTTAGTTTAAATGTTTTACAGGGAATTTCTCCCTCAAAGTTTATTATTATTATTATTATTATTATTATTTTTTTTAATTTATCTTTTTGCTTTTGGGGGATAGAAATTATTGTTGTTTTAATCTTGCAAACTCTGAATTTATGGGCTATCTTCATTCTCTCCTTTTTGTTTGCAAACTTGCCAAATCTTTCCTGAGATCTTCCCCTTATTATATTACCTTGCCAAATTCAGACAATCGCATCCAACACACACAGCTACCATTTTGTTTCCAGTCTTTTCCCTCAGAATTTCTGTACTGCTAAGTGCTATATTTGCCTCTTAAGTTATTGCAGGCAATAATTTTACCAAATATTTTGTCACTGCATAGTGTGGGTCATCATTTATCTAGCCTTTAATATTATTGTCATACACAGCCTGCCACATGACCTCTGTTGACAATGCCACTCTTTTAGCCTTTTGCTATGGTAGCACCTCACTTCTAGGCCTCAATTTTTATATCTACTTATATACTTTAGGTTATGGTAGCATATCTTGATTCATCTTTTTTAAAAAAGTGAACATAAAAATTCTTTTTAAAAATTGTATTTTTCAATTATAGTTTACTTTCAATATGATTTTTTATTAGTTTCAGGTGTGCAGCTTAGTGGTTACACACTCATGTATTTTACAAAGTGATCCCCCTGATATTCCAGTACCCAAATGGCACCATACATAGTTATCACAATATTATTGACTATATTACCTATGCTGTGCTTTACATCTCCATGACTACTAGTATCTTGTAAGTACTAATTAGTACTTCTTAATCCATTCACCTTTTTCACCTAGCCCCAGGTACACCCTAAAACTTTTTGAAGCTTGGATATTTAAAACTGAATGCGTTATACTATAGGTTTTCTTTCTGCTTTGTTGTTCAGTCTATTGGGAACATTTTATTAACTCTTATTTTCATTGCCTAAATCAAGACTGTTTTATTTAAATATAATACAAGCTATATGTGATTTTGTGATTGCTATTGGTAATCAGTGGCATTATACAATAGCTGTCTTAGATCTCTGGAGTCTTGCAGATGGCTTTTGTCCAGTTAATCCTTCTAGGTTGCTAGTGATGGTATAAACTGGTGATCATATGATCATCTTTATTCCTGTTTTATATAGGACTAACTGACATGACAACTGGATTGAGCCAAAAAATTTTTTTTAAGGTATATACATATTAGAAAAAGATACTAATTTATAGGTCATTTCAAAAAGAGCTTATGGGACCAAAATCAGGAGCTCTTAACTCTGTGACCTAAGATAGAAGTTCTCTATAGTAACAGACACTCAATAATGCTTTGTTTTCATGAGGAGATATAAGGTAAAAAAAAAAAATCTAAATGTGTACATTGAACTACAAATGTCTCCAACAATCTCATGTCATTATGTTCTTGGTTAATATATGTGTGTTTGCTTTCTTTCCATAAGAGTTTCAACTAATTATGATAGTACAGTCTATTACTGATAATAGCACTAACAAGCATATAGTTGGGCATTAAAAAATCTTGCTAACTTGGATGTTTGACCAGCTATAATATCTTACCTAATGTGTAACTCATTGTTGGAACTCCAGAGTCTCTTTCTGTGGGCTCTTGAATTATGTGTGGAGTGTCCTAGCTGTCACTGTATTGCATGATGGCTCCACTTGAATTATGGAAATGCTTAAAGCTGGTAACAGCTTGAGTTGGGTGGTACAGGGCCAATTAGTGAGCCTTCCATCATAGTCAGCTCTGTGTTCATCATATATTCGTTGTGTCCCCAATATTAGCACATAATTTACTCTATAAAAGTGCTCAATAAATGTTAGATGAAATAATAATGTGAACCTATTGATTCAGTTCAAACTTAATGAAAGCAGGTTACTAGTTTGACTTGCTGATAAGTTAGTTATTTTTACCTTGATGGGGAAAAACACTGTGACTATTGGATGTAAAACATCAATGTTACTTCTTTCTGACACAAAAGGCCATTTACTCCTCCCCAGCAATCCAGAGAATCCTCTTGTATTAAGTAAGGCACATCTTTCAAGAGGGCTGCTGTAGTCTTCTATGCATTGAGGCATGGCTATGAAGAAACCACTCAATTTAGTATGCCTTTAAGGGTCTATTGCATATATTGCTTTGGTAGCATAAATGGTACATGAAAACATGCCTCTTGATTTCATGGTGGTAGCTTCACTGAATATCTGGTAAAGTCTTGACTATTATAAGATTGGCTTAAAGGTTTCAGTCTAGCTAGAAGGGGTTAGCCAGGAGGCCCTGTCTTGAATCTGTATATGCATAAAAATACATTGCTTTAATTTAGATTGTCTATTTGGGGATGTATGTTTAGAGAAGGAGACTAGTAGATTATTGGGGGAAACTAAGTTTACCCCAAGTCCACGAAGACCCCAGAGGCTTATTCCAAAACATTTAAGCAAGTGCAAAATAAACTAAGTATGAGCAGAGAGATAAAGAGGATGGGTATGATGTCTGAGAGAGTAATTCAAGGAAGTCTTCTTATAGGAATTCAACTTTTGATTGTTCCAGAGGAGAGAGGCCGAGAAGATGCCACAGGTATGGAGAATAGAAATATGGATGAAAAGCCTATGATCACAGAAGAATTTTGATAAAATCTGGAGGGTCTTCTAATGAACCCAAGAGCTACTTCTTTAATTTCCTTTGACTAAAGAAAATGGAGGAAAGTTTTTCAAACATGTGATAGATGGAAATAACTGCCCTGCTAGAATGTGACCTGCCCTTTTTTTTTTTTTTTAAGCATATGTAATTATACCTAATATTAATGGAGATTTTAAAAAAAGTGTATTACTGTGGCCAGGCTGTTGTGGCTCAGTGGTTGAGCATTGGGCTATGAATAAGAAGGTCCTGGTTTGATTCTTGAGCAAATGCCCAGATTGTGGGTTCAATCCCCAAAGGGGGTTGTGCAGGAGGCAGCTGATTGATCAATGGTGTTTCTTTCTCACCTATGTTTCTATCTCTATCTCTATCTCTATCTCTATCTCTATCTCTATCTCTATCTCTATCTCTATCTCTATCTCTATCTCTCTTCCTTCCTCTCTTTAAAAATCAATAAAAAATATATTTTTAAAAAGAACTGGTAAGTTACTGTTATTTCAAAAATGTCTATATTTCTAAGGTATAATGCCTGACATAGCATGTGCTTAGTAAATGTTTGTTGAGCCCTATCCAGTTTTGGCTTAGTGGATAGACCAATGGCCCTCAAACTGAAGGGACCCAGGCTCAGTTCCAGTCAAGGGCATGTACCTTGATCCCTTGCCTGGTCAGGGCTCATGCAGAAGGCAACCAATCGATGTGTCTCTCTCACATCCATGTTTCTCTCTCTCTGCCTCTTCCCATCCCTTCCACTCTCTCTAAAAGTCAATGAAAAAATGTCCTCAGGTGAGAATTAACAATAAAATAAACAAATTAAAAATGAACCGCAAAATAAAACAAAACAAAAATAAATAAATAAATAAACTGCAGCTCCTCTGTGAGTTTATTAAAAAAATAAAGAAAGAAAAATGTTTGTTAACCTGAAGTTAACTGAGACAAATTAACTTTCCACAGGTTATTTAAAATTATACACCACAGCAATACGTTTTGGTTAAAAAAAAAATCATCCTCAATCAGAGATAGCCAAGATAGTGGTAGTTTATATGTTGCATTAATAATGATTATTTATTAATTATTTATTATCTTTAAGGGTTAAAATAGAATTAATTCAGGTTACCACAAAACTGCTGGGGTGTAATTTCAGAATTTCTCTCTGATGTCACTCATTTCTTTGGTTTTATTTTTCCCATTCATAAAATGGAGCACAAGAGAGGTCTGCCATTTAATACCAGGGCTCCTCTGAGGGTGACCTATCTCCCACTTAAATCATGGTTCATATTGCATGACTGGAAAATAGAACATATGAGGCATGTCAAAAGTCCTTAGCCATTAGTGGAAGACCATAAAAAGATTATGACAGCAGTTTGCAACTTGGCTTGTCTGTGTAGCAACATAGTTAAGAATTTTGCCGTGATTTGAGGTAAATGGGGGTAGAAGAAAAGGAAGGTTTGGTCCTTTTTTCGTCATCCCTTTTGAGGACCCCCCTTTGATTCACTTTCAGGAAGTGAAATAGGAAAAAAAAACCAAATTCGTCAGTCACTCTGGGGTAACCACATCTTAAGACTGTAAGCGGGTCAATCAAAACAAGGACACTGATTGCTATAAAATCGACAGGTACTTTCATTAACATACACAGGCACATACAGGGCATGCACAGAAGGAGCTTACTGCACGAAGCAGGCAACCAGAGCAAAACGACAATGACCACCCGACATCCCGCTGCCATGGTGAGTAAGAATAATGACTTTTGTTTAGGTAGAGTCATTCCCTAGGAATTCAGAAAATCAGATCTCTCAGGAATTAGGCTCAATTGGGGTTATTTCTTTCAAAAACAGAGCTGACTCTAATGCTGATCCACATCTGGTGGAGAAAAAGAAAAAATAACTAGAAGTTATAATGGGGTGTAAGCTAGCTCTTCACCTGACGGTTTTTGAGTAATTGGTGTTAGCTTGCTTGGCTCTTGGTCATGAACTACATTAGCTTTCCTGTAGTCACCACTGTAGAGTTAAACTGGCTTGAAATTCTAATTTCATGCAGGAGTTTAGCCAGCCCTTTGTCATTTATATATTCTATATATCTTTATAAACCGAGGAAATTGGTGTCCCAAGAGGCTTAATGATCTCCCCAAGACTACAGGTAGAGAAGGAGTGCTCTGGATGGAGGAAGTAGAATGACCAGGGATGAACTTTGGACAGCTCTAGAGGAGGGACTTTGCCATGTCTCTGATGGCTGATTATTTTTTTGTATCTTCTCATTCCTCTTGAGGAGAGAGAAATATTAGTGTGATGGAAATCTACCTCCCCTGGGTCTAAACTCACAACAAAGTGTAGCATTGGGGGATAGGCTCTGGAGTCAGACCTGGCTCCACTGCTTACTAAATGTGGGATTTGGGATAAGTTTTTCACCACTTGTGCATTATTATTCTCTTTTCAGTATAGGGCAATAATAATGGCATCTCCTCATGGGATTTTTTTTTTTGGATTAATTGATATCATTGCAAATGACTAAAGCTATACTCTGAAATAGCATATCCATGTATGTGTAGTTTTTAGTTAAATTGGCCATTTTAATCAATAAAGATAGAGAAAGCATTAAATCAGTGTTAATATTAATAATATTGCTTTTACTTCTGAGACTCTCATCAACCCAATGACATAGGTAGGGAACTACTTTTCCCATTATACACGTGAACAATGGCTCAAGTTAAGTGATTTAACATCACTACTGAGTAATATACACACAAGAACTGGGGCATGGATCTAGGTTTAATGGCTCCAAGAATAGTATTCTTCTCCTTGCATGGTTCAGATGCAAGATTTTGAACCTCTTAAAGAAGAAGTGTTGCAGACATCATTTTTAAGAAGCAGCAAGAGCCTTGTCAGAGCTCTTAATTGCATAACCACTAAAACCTACAGTTTCAGAACCACAGCTTTGTGGAGCAAACTGGAGGGATTTGCAGACAGTTATCTGATTTCCTGATAAAGGGCCAGGTAACTAACAACACTCACATATACCCGACACAGCTATCACAGAGCTTAAACTGCTTGGCTACTCTGGTGGGACAAAGCTAAGATGGAATATGGCGAGTGGCTACATGTAATAAGAATCTTCAATAACAATAGCACTGGCCTCTGACAGCTAGGTTTGCGTCCCCAGACTGGCATTGACAGGCTGGTGAACCTAACCAAGCTATTTGTTGCCTCTCAGACACACTCCTTCACCCATCTAATGAGGATAATTAATACTAGTTTGACTGACCCCATAAGAAAGTTGTGAGAATCCAATGTTTAAAGAGATATAATAATGTTTTCTAAAATACTCAAAGAATATAAACAAATATAATAATGACTTATTAGAAGCATGGAAATTTTTTCTAACTCCTATAACCTCAAGGAATGGTTATTTTAAAGTTTTGACAATTAGATATAAAAATGATTCAGTAAGTATGATACAGAAGAAAAAAACAGAAAGGAGAAATAGTTTCCATAATCTGTTGTTGGGCATCACTAGTGTCCATGCTTCTTTCAATTATCTTGAATACTTGGAACTTTGCTACAGTGTTTTTCTTGATCATTGCTTGTGGGAAATTAACTATATTGTTAATTTAACTATATCGTTTTGTTTATCCATTCATTGACCCACTCTTTGTCCATCCAGAAAGTATTTATGGAACACTCATTCCATGACACATTCTCCTGCAGAAATTTACAGTATAACAGGCATAGATCTGACATGAACACAAACAGTACATTTTCATTCAGTAAAAAAATGCTGCTTGAGTGGTAGATGATAAAAGCTTCATGATTTAGGGGTAATTAACATACTTCTAATTGAACTACTTTAGGGATAGTTTCTGAAGGAGACCATGTCCGAGTGGGGTCTTGATGGGAGGATAGGAATTGGAAAGATCAAGGTAGGCAATGTATTCTAGATGAAGGAATGGCTGGGAGGAAGGATGTTGTGGAAGATTTATGTAATCTTGAGAAGAAAAACTAGAGCTATCATTTAGTAAGCCTGTTTTTGTTAAATGTACAGGAGCTTTACATAGAACATTTAATTTAATCTTGTAATACTGTTATAATGCCAGTATTATAATCTGGTTGGGAAGAGGAGAAACCAGAGGCTCAGGAGGAGACCAGGTCAAGATTTACACCCAGTTCCAGATCCTGTTGTCTCTCTGTCTCACACCTGGGAGCTCAGTCACCAGGCTACCAAATTTAGTTCTCAGTTTGGTACCCTGATGTCATCATGTATGACTGCTCCTATTTCTAGGTGAGGATCTGAGGTTTAGAGAGAAGTTCTGATCTTATAGACGAGTGGTTGGAAAACCACGGCTCGAGAGCCACATGCAGCTCTTTGGCCCTTTGAGTGTGGCTCAGTGTTAGAACCACTTCTTCAAAATAGACTTGCATAGGTTGAAAACCGACTTCTGCGCATGGGCCACGCAATTTCAATCACGCTGTACGTGCGCGCCTGCACGTAATATTTTGTGGAAGAGCCACACTCAAGGGGCCAAAGAGCCACATGTGGCTCAGGGGCCGCGGTTTGCCGACCACTGCCATAGACGATCAGGAATGCTGAGTTCAGGAAAGTATGGATGTCTCTTGCCAGCAAGTGACATCAGAGTCCCTAACCAACTGCAACATCCTCTATTTTCTAGGTCAAGTGTCTGCTGCTGTTGATGTTGGGGCTCGCTCTCCTGAGGGAGGGGGCAGCTCAGAAAAAACCCGAAGCAGAGGATACTGCCCTTTGTCCTCCTCTGGAGGACAACAGTGTGAGGCTTGACATTCGCATCTTCAGTCAAAACCAGGCTGTTACCATCTCACATGACTTCCAGAACCGCTCCAGCTCCCCCTGGGATTACAAGTAAGTGCAAAGGAGACTGATCTTCATATGCTTTGGAACTATATGAGAATTTATTCTAATCGGAAAGTAGAAAATTTAGAAAAACTAAAAGCCCTCACATATTCTCTTAAGAAAACAGAAATCCCTCTTTACTTGGGAGCACACATTTTTTCTTGCTGTTTTGGACGAGGTGGTCCAAAGTCTTACTACTTTGTTTCCAACTTTTCATTGATTCTGCCCTTTTCTGCTTCATGGGGCCTAGATCAGACTTTACAGACTTTCTGTGTTGGAAGAGAGGTCTCTTTAAAGCAGCCCAGACAATGATCTCTGCAGAGGAATAAGTGGGAACCAAAAAAAGGTCAAGTTTCAAGAGATCCACTCAGATTAGACACTGGTTGTCAAGGAGTGGGGAAGAGAGCCCAGTGGAGGAGCTAAACCTGTCTGGGAAGTGGGATCTGAGGCAGGATGTGCAGAGGAGAGTCTTGTGACTTTGTCTGATGTGCAGGGCCCTGCAATATCAAGCACTCCTCTATATTCTCCCATTATAACTGGGAAAACTAGTTCCAGGGATAATGCGACGTGCTGCTGGGCTGCTTGTTTTGTTTCCAAGTGAGGGAGTGTACACAACTGGCAAGTTGGCTGGATTGGCTTGGCTGCCTTTATCCTCCTGGCTGAGGGGGCTGTTGAGGGAAAAATTGAGAGAAGCCACTGGGTTTACAAACCTCAGGGACTTCGGTTTTTCTTTTCCAAGCAGCAGGCTTTGTAGAACGTATAGTGGAAGACCTACTGGCGATTTTAGTCGCTCAGCAAAGGATGAATAATAATTATTGTAATAACACTGTAAAGAAAAATAAACTAGATCTAACATGTGTTGAATGCCAACATTTACAGTGTGCCATTTCCTATGCATTTGATCACTGAATGTTCTCAACAATTCCATGAGAGAGAGATTTGAGAATCCCCATTTCATAGCTGAGAAAATTGAGGCTTAGGGAGTTAAGCATCTGTCAGAGGCCTGTGTATGAATCCAGACTGCCTGATCCACGGCCTGTGCTGCAGCCCGGAGTTACTCAGAACCACCTCCCTGTGAGTGAGTGCAGGGCTGCAGGGCTCGCATCCTTTGTCCATGTCCCCTCCCTGTCTCACCATCTGCATCTGCCTGCTTCTCCTGCAGCATCACCAGGGACCCTCACCGGTTCCCCTCCGAGATTGCAGAGGCCCAGTGCAGGCACTCGGGCTGCATCAATGCCGAGGGGAAGGAAGACAACTCTCTGAATTCCGTTCCCATCCAGCAAGAGGTCCTGGTCCTCCGGAGGGAGCCCCAGGGCTGCACTCACTCCTTCCGGCTGGAGAAGAAGATGGTGACTGTTGGCTGCACCTGCGTCACCCCCATCATCCGCCATGTACGTGACCTGAGAGTTGCCCCTCAACTTAGCTGAAGTTGCTGTAGAAGTGCCACTCCTCCTCCTGCATCAAGTCCTGAGTGGTCCCCGATTCTCTCTTAGTGTGGCTTGCATGGAATCCTCAGAGCTTTGCATTAGATATACCGGTAGTGTTAACTTTCTGGGGGTGCTTCAGAATCCTAATATTATCCTGAGATGTTTCAATGTCCCAAACCCCTGAAAATGAGTAGCAAATGAAGAAGTGCTTGGTCTACTCTGTTCATGTGCTGGGATGACTATCACACAATTATGTGTGGTGACCAGCCATGCAGTTGCTGGGATGTGGCACCATTCCCTGGGAGCTTTGTTGATAAAATTGGCCTCTGTTCCATGTGGAAAAAAAACACACGCAGAAAATATAGCCACAATATAAAAGTGTGAGAGGAGTTGTGCAGGCTGGGGTGGGTGAAAAAGATAGGGGTAAGGATATAGACGAGGTTGGCCTAATATTTATATTTGCAAGGAAATTGTTCATGTATTTATGATATATTGATTATATAAAATTTAGGAGAATAATTAATATATCAAAAACTAATGTAATAAAATATTAATGATTTAAAAATACTTTTGGTGTTCATTTTACATTGTACTCATGACCTTGTGCCCTAAAAATGTTGAAATTCTATATACCTGTCATTTGTTTTTTATATTTTTCTCATCAGAGCACTAGTGTTAGAATTATTTTATTATTATTATTTTATGTGTATAAACTTGGTGATATTAGTTTTTTTTCAGCTTTATGGAGATATAATGGACAAATAACAGGATATAAGTTTGAAGTGTACAATGTGATGATTTGATACACAAATATACTAGTACTATAGGCCCGATGCATGGATTCATGCAAGAGTAGGTCTTCTTTCTCCCAGCTGTTGGCATCAGCTTCCCTCTGGATCCTGGGACCTGGGCTTCCCTCACAGCCCCAGCTTCATCCAGAAGGTCATCTGGAAGGACATCTGGTCTAATTAGCATATTACGCTTTTATTATTATAGATATGAAATGATTACCACAATAAGGTTAGTTAACACCTCCATTTCATCAGAGTTACCTTTTTAACTATAGTAAGAACATTAAAGATAAACTCTTAGCAAATTTCAAATCTACAATACAGTACTATGCTATACATTAGTACACCTCCAGAACTTATTCACCTTGTAACTGATACCTTTTGTCCAACATCTCCCCACTTTCCCCCTCCCCAGCTCCTGGCAACCACCAATCTACTCTTTGTCTCTTTGAGTTGGAGAGTTATTTTATTACTAATGGTTCTTGAGGTATATATGGAGAATTAAAGAAAATGGTGCAGTTACTACGTTCCCTGGTAACTCTTTTTTTAAAAAAATATATTTTATTGATTTTGTACAGAGAGGAAGGGAGAGAGATAGAGAGTTAGAAACGTCGATGAGAGAGTCATCGACCAGCTGCCTCTTGCACACCCCCTACTGGGGATGTGCCCGCAACCAAGGTACATGCCCTTGACCGGAATCGAACCCGGGACCCTTCAGTCCCCAAGCCGACGCTCTATCCATTGAGCCAAACCGGTCTCGGCCGTTCCCTGGTAACTCTTTACAGATCCATCTTCCTAGCTACATTATTTTACAAAGTGAGCACTTATTGGCTACTGTGCTACCCACTAGCAATACAAAGAAAAGTAAGGAATGCATATGGAAGGGCCACAGTATTGGCAATGGCTAACCACAGAGCCCCCGGTCATTAGGGCCATGGTGGCCACTTTGCATTTGCCTTGTTCTGACTTCTTTTGGGTCACTGGTTGTCTTTCATCTACTTCTAACACTTCCTGAGGACACAGGAGTTTCCATATTCTGGTCTCCATGACATTCAGAAGGTTCTCCTATCTCTCTCTTGCCCAGAAATGGCACACCACATTTTCTTCTTTACTGTTACCATACTGCTGGCTCAGAGCACATCTGCATTGCTGCTGACTTCCAGGTCCCAGAGAGGCAGTAGGGCATAACTTCTCACCTCCACCTGCAACTCAGCTTGAGGATGGGCGAGTGGCAGGAGCCTGGCCCCACTTTTAATTTTTTAGTGTGGAGAACGTTTATCTATTGGTGAGAGTGGGTATGGAGTAGCTTGGTAGGTAGGCTGGCTCTTCATCTCTTTGCTTCAGAATCTTTTGCTTATGCGATGAACATTGATATTTATACTTAAAATGGTCAGGCCGTTGAAATCTAAACAGCATTTTCTCTCCTAGCTGTCAGTTTCATGCTTGCCATGAATCTCCCAAATCCATTTAAGTGCTCAAGACTATGTGTGTGTCTTCCTTTCTCTGTTCATTTTGGCAGGGATAGCCCTGCCCAGAGGATAGTACATATGAACAGATCCTGTTTGAGTAGCAGAAGTATACAAGATGAAGGAAACTGCAGAGGAAAGAAATCACACCTTTGCATGCATCAAGATATTATCTTGTTACACATGTACACGTGTAATTTCAAAACAATGTGGTAAGTGCTATAGTCATGTCGAGAAGACATAGAGGATAATAGTTCACTGGGAGATTTCAGAAAGGAGATAACATTTGCAGTGAGATGAATATGAGTTGCTTTAGAGAAAAATGGAGGAAGGGCATTTTTAGAAAAGGGAAAGAATATAAGCAAAAGCAAAGAAGCCCAAAAAGCTCGGTGTGTTAGGGGAGCAGCAAGTCATTCCATGTGCCTGGGATACTGTGAACATTGGAATACAGTGAGGGATACATAAGAAATATTTCTTGCCCAAGCAGCGTAGCTCAGTGATTGAGTGTTGACCTATGAACCAGGAGGTCACGATTGGGTTCCTGATTAGGGGACATGTCCGGGTTGCAGGCTTAATCCCCAATGGGGAGGGCATGCAGGAAGCAGCCAATCAATGATTCTCTCTCTTCACTGATGTTTCTATCTCTCTCTCTTCCTCCCCCTTCCTCTCTGAAATCAATAATATTTATTAAAATGTAATATTTCTTGTAATGATGATTGAATTAACATGTCAGGAGGCAAACGGTCCACTTGTGGATGGTATTGTATGCGCTATAGGAAATGTGATAAGAACATAATTGTAGTTCATAAGATACTTTTCTTGGTGATGTATAAAAGGCATTAAAAACCTGAAGGCCAGTTAGAAGATCAGAGAGGAGACAACTTCTCTCCTATGACTGCACATTGTTAGAGCTGAAAAGGCCCCTGTCAATCACCTGGTTAACCTTACTCATTGGCAGTTGAGGTACAGAGGAATTAGGTGACTTGCTCAAGGTCACTTGGGTAGTTATTTCACTGACTTCAAGTGCATGACTTTATTTTCAATAAAGACCCATTTTAGGCCCTTCTCTATGGGGCTTAGGGCTGGCCCTGGGAGCTGGTGCAGCGTACCTACACGTCTCACGTGTCCAGATGCATTGAACATGGTTCCCCCAGAGTCTGGGGCTTTGAGTTCTGACTTCCTTCCACAGCTTGAGCTGAGGGCTGGCTGTTATTCAGGAAATTGCAGACCCTCTCCCTCACAAGGCGGCATACGGTGCCCACTTGTTCCTGTAGGTTACAAATAGTTTCTTTATGGGGAATCTATCTTCTTTGGCAGCCACTTAAGACCCGGCTGTGGCTGAATGAGCAAGTTGTATTCAGTTCAGTTTTCTGGGACTCAACAGCTTTCTTTCTTTCTTTCTTTCTTTCTTTCTTTCTTTCTTTCTTTCTTTCTTTCTTTCTTTCTTTTTTTTTTTTTTAATATATTTTATTGATTTTGTACGGAGAGGAAGGGAGAGAGAGAATTAGAAACATCGATGAGAGAGAGAGTCATCGATCAGCTGCCTCTTGCACACCGCCTACTGGGGATATGCCTGCAACCAAGGTACATGCCCTTGACCAAAATCGAACCTGGGAACCTTCAGTCTCCAAGTCGATGCTCTATCCATTGAGCCAAACTGGTTTCGACTCAACAGCTTCTTTCTTTGTCTGTAGGGAGAAATAGTCTAAGTTGAGTGATTCAAATACTACCATCATAACTTGTGAACAGAGGGACTTTTCTTTCCATGTGGAAACTTGAAAGCATGTAGCCTTCTCTGCTGATATCTGTTCTTATTTATGAAGGCTTGGCTGTGGGGAAAATCATATTCTTTCTCTTCCTCCCTCCCTACCCTACTCCTCTCTTTCCACATATTTACAATGCTTCAGGAGAGAATTTTCACTTGTAATTTACAGTGGAAAAAAAAAAAGGATATTAAATAGGTTTGCTTTTTTTTTTTTTTTTTCCTAATAGGAGAGGTAGAAAATGCATTTTTAAAAATTTACCTATTGTTGAAAGTATTACAGATATTCCTTTTATGTGTTTTTTTCCCATTGACCCTTTCCACCCTGCACCGGCCCCTCCCAGGCCTTCACCACACTATTGTCTGTGTCCATAGGCTAAGCATATATGCATATAAATTCCCTAGTTAATCTTTCCCCAACCATATTCCCCCCACCTCCCTGGCAAAAATATATTTAATATTTAGACAGCTCTTGGGTTTGAACTCTGGTTCTACCATTTTATGGTTTTATGACTTTAGGCAATTTAGTCTCTCTGGGTGAAACGTGACTTCCTTGTATGTAAATGGGGGGGGGTGTCTTAGTATCTATTTTAAAGGAGTAGTGCATAATCAAAATAAAAATGTGAAAGACTTAATACAGAACCCAGGAAATGACATCCACTTTGTGGCTGGTATCCCAAGAGGCACAGAACTTAAGAGTCCGATTTTGCTTGGCCCCAGGAAACTCACAACCAAGTTTTATGCTTAAACACTATAGCTATAATAGTTTCTCATGATTATGAAATTTACACTCACCATGTACTCTCTACATACAAATGGATATTCTCTAGTCTCCCTAGCCCCCTTATATGTGGGTTTGCTTTTCATGTTTTCAGTTACCTGGGGTTAACTGCGGTCCAAAAATATTAAAGGGAAAATTTCATAAGAAAACATAAGTTTTAAATCGCTCGCCA